TTCTTTGTTCCTTCTCTTGCTCTTTTTACTGGTCCAGCTGCACCATTTTCATCATGTCCATCATCACCATAAATTTCATTTTCTTGCCCTGAAACTGTACTTTTCCTTTAGCACATCCATCCTGGGCGCTTTATTTCCCTTTTTTTCCCCTCTGAATCCGTGACCTTTTGCCTTCCATTTGTTTAGGGATTCTTGCTGATTTTCTAAGATTTTTTTCAATACTTCTTGCTCCCCACCTCCTTCTAGAATTTCCCATGTCACTTCTCTGTTCCTTAATTGTGAGTTACCGTTTTATTTGAATCCTTGACTTTCTCCAATGTTTCCTTAGCTTTTTCGTTAAATAGAATTATTCCCCCTTTTCCCCTGTGATAAAATCTATCCATTTTATTTCACCACAATCTGAGAAAAGGATGTGCAAATCTTCTCGACAGGTTTGATCATCTAAGTTCCCAGAAAATTTCAGCAAACATCCAATCTTTTATTCTAGAGCTTCCATTTCAGCATTTTCTACTAACTTTGGTTTTTCTTCTTGCTCTTGTTTAGCTCATAATTTAGCTTCCACTTTGTTTAGTTTCTTCTTTTTTTTTCGAAGCAATCAATCTTCCTTGAAAAGCAAGGTCCCTGTCTGCCTACGGGTCTCGACAAACTTCTTAGGAGATTCAATGCTATCAAACAGAGCAAATGATGATCCCTTAAATGTTTTGCACAATATTCTTCTCATCTGACTATTTAGTTCTTGACCTTTATCTTCTACTGATTCTTTTATGTCATCAAGGGTTGCAACAGTTGGGAAGCTTTTACTATAAACAAGTCTATTTTTCACATCATTTTTCGACTCCTCAGTCACTTCAGGGAGGGGCTGCTTCCCCATCTTCTGATTCTAGTTTTATCTTCACTTATTTCCATGAGTTCTGCCTTAGCTTGCTCAACACTCTGCTATTGCATTCAAGTCTGTTGTTAGATGGTTTAACCTATTGAATTGTATCATTGTCTCCAAAGGAACCCAGATTTCATCCACTTTGATCTGTTCCTTTAAAATTTTGTCCCGTAGGAAATTGAAGTCACCAAAACAATGCTCAATTTGATGACAGATTTTGGCCTCCAGAGCAGCCATTTTTCATTATCACCATTTTCAGCCATTGCGGCCATCTTTAAGGTCCAGGTCTGCCATACCACGTGATCACTAACAGTGACAGCAATGTCTCAACTTCCCAGCTCTGCTGCTGGCCTAACCCACATAAAGATGAAGGCCATCTTTTGTCCATCTTTTAACTGGGTTATTTGTCTTTTTATTATTGAGTTGCAATAGTTGTTTATATATTCTAGACACAAGTCCCTTACCAGGCATCTGATTTGCAAAAATTTTCTCCCATTCTGTGGATTGTCTCTTCACTTTCTTCATGGTGTGCTTTGAAGCATAAAAGTTTTTAAATTTGATAATGTCCAGTGACTTACTGTACTCTTCTAACTCTTTAAAACAAAGAATTAAAAAATAAAGATAAGCTGTATGCAAACTCTGGGCTGTGTGCTCTGTGTTTGTGCAAGCCATCAGTTGTGTTACTTGAAATATGTTCCTTTTTTTTTCTTTCCCATCGTGGTAATGCTTATTATGCCACCATTCTTAACTAAAGAATACAAATACATTACTAAATTTTTATTTTACTACTTAAAAGGTAACTATATTTTAATTTGGCTATACACCACAATTCATTTTTTTTTTTAAGATTTTATTTTTTCCTTTTTCTCCCCAAAGCCCCCCAGTACATAGTTGTGTATTCTTCGTTGTGGGTTCTTCTAGTTGTGGCATGTGGGACGCTGCCTCAGCGTGGTCTGACGAGCAGTGCCATGTCCGCGCCCAGGATTCGAACCAACGAAACACTGGGCCGCCTGCAGCGGAGCGTGCGAACTTAACCACTCGGCCACGGGGCCAGCCCCACACCACAATTCATTTTAATTTGTAGATGTTACAGATAATTGCCCTGAAACTCTTACCAGGTTGAAAAAATAGCAAGGAGTACTAAAGAATTGCTATCCTACCATTTTCATACTTCCATTTTGACACAATGTAGGAATTTCAGATGTACCTTAGTATCATGTGACGTGATTCTCAGACTCAGGAAATACTATTTTATGGTATCTGGGCTTTTGATATTTATTTGACATGCACTATTTGGGTAGGGGTTATTTAATTGTAATATCTGAATTATTATTCCTTATCATTATTTTCCACTAGTTTCTCCATGTTTTCTAATAATATTAATTGGCTATTTGTTCAAAGTTTGAACAGTACCAAACTGGGGTAATGAATATCTATATATTCCTAAGGGCCACTGAGTAATTGAGGCTAAATTAGAACTTATCCATGAATGCAAAATGTCATCATAAATTTGCTTTGATCATGGCTTATTTTAAGTACTTTGTCATCTCTAAAACCAATTGTCGAAGTGGATCTTAATTGTTGCCATTGTCATTATCTTGGTCTTTACTAAGTACTTTTTACTAAGGAGCAAATCCTCTATTTGTATCTCTGTGCCTGAGAAATTACCCTGTACACAATTTGTCATGTCTTAAATATGAGGCCATAGAAAACATAAGCCCACTCAAACTCACTTCAGAAAAGGAGTACCTATTATAAGAAATGTTAGTAATTGTATGAGGCCTAAGGGACTAGAACCAAGAACTGAAAATTCTCTCTCTCTCTCTCTTTTTCTTTCCCTGCACCTTTTCTTATTCATCAGTGCACCAGGACCCACCTTGGCTATCCAAAGAAGTAGGTTCAGCCTCTTCATATCCATTTGTCACTCATGCTGGTCCAATTACTTGTAGTCAAGATAACAGGGTTATCTGGTCCTCATCTCTTCCCAGGACCCGTAGAATGGCTCCCTAAGAAGAGCTATCAGCAAGTTTTCTAAGAAAGGGTGAGTGTGGAAAGGAAATGAAGAATATCTCTGGCATGTTTCATGAGCATTGTCCAAGACCCCCAGAGAGACAGGTGGTCTCAATTGCTGGCACTTAGTAGAAAACTATACCTGGAACAATCTAGCAATTAAAAAATTTTCTATGAATAAGATTTTGGAGAATGCCCTAAGAGAGAGCCAAGAAAAATAAGTACCAATAATACTGCCTGTACCAAAAGGGTGCATAATAAAAATATAGCCTTTCAATTTAATTTTGTTTGTAGAAATAAGGTGGACAAACAAACTTGCATCTACAATACTGACCACATCACTTCTCCTATGAGTATGGAGGAGAACACAAGAAGGATAATAATGAAAAAGTCAAAGCAAAGATTAGACACATCTAGTCAAAGTAGAATTCAAGGCTTAATTTATCTGTTCAGTTCATCATATCCCTCTCTCCCAATACAGGAGGCTCTTCACTGATTGATCTGATACTAAGCCAAAATGGATTCCGGTATCTAATTTACTGATGGACTCATGTAGAGTAGAGGACACATATAGATTAAAGACAATAAGCAAGACCCATCTTCACGTCATACAGACAAAATGGACCCTCCCTACAAATGCCTCTGGTGATCCAGTGATGGAAGACTGAAGAAGAGAGGAGCTTGTGAAGTTGTGAAGCGTTGCACTAAAGAGTGAGCTTTCTCACGTGAGCTTTTTTCAAAACCCCTCTGAGAATTACGTTGAAATAATCATGCATTAGCTTCCATCATGCTGAAGTCAGTAACAAGAAATTTCTAAAATTCTACAATCTAGTCCAGTCCTTGTTTCCTATACACTTCTCCAGAATTCTCAAAAGCCACGACTACCAGAAGGAAAGTCCTTGTAAGCTCTTAACACGTTAACATACCCACCTAAATATTTGCCTCTCCATCCTCCCAGGGAAACAAGATGGTGAGCTGTGCGTGGAGAATTAAGGCCCATTGATGTTTTCATCCCAGATGAGCAAGTGTTAGCTCCACGAAAGTTGTTTATGACCAATACTTTAACCAAACAACATCAATGGATGTCACCACAAAACGTGCTGTTCTGTTCACCTGGAGAGCATTTTCTACCATCACGACTTACTGAAACTTTATCTAGCTCCTGGGGAGCTTCTTAAACATGTTCTCCTCATTTATAAGGCTTTAAATTTCACACTATTTTTTTAATTTCAGTTTTATTGAGGTATAATTGACAAAAATTGTAAAATATTTAAAGTGCACATTGTGGTGATTTGATATATATATACATTGTGAAAAAAACTCCCCCCACCTGGTAAATTTGCACACCCAGCACCTCACGTGTTTATCTTTTTCTTTTCTTTTTTTTTTTTTGGTGAGAACATTTAATTTCTACTCTCTTAGTAAATTTCAATTATGCGATACAGTGTTGACAACTAACGTCACTATAGTTTACACTAGACCCTCAGACCTTATTCATCTTATAGCCAAAAGTTCGTAAATTTCACACTATTGAAACAAACAGAATATGTAATGCTTTCAAAGATCCTAACAGTAATATTTGTCTAAAAATTGTGTCAACTGGATGTTCAAATTGCTATTAAAAAAGGAAACAAAGCATGCACATTAAATGAGCTTCAAATGATATATTGGAATTATCACTAGCTGCCATCACTGCCCATTAGACTTGCCCCAATAAATGTTACAAAAGTGTTCAAATATTTTGACTCCCTGGTTCTTAGCAAACCCTCTATATTCATTTGCACACTCACAAAGTTGGGATATTCAGATCTGCTCAGACATGAGAAACTTCATTAAGAAAAAGGATGAATATCTGAAATGCTATGAGATACTACCTTTCATAGAAAATGGAGGGGCTAACTTCCATCTCTACCAATGTGTTCACTTCTCTATATCACCCATCTTACAGGTATAATGCCTGGAACATGATAACCATTCATTAATTTTTGAAATGCTCAAAAAAATGAGTTAATATATTAATAAATAAACACAGGGAAAAGCATAGAACTTTATTATGTGGAGAATCAAGTTCACAGAAAGCAGTAGATAAATCTGTTGCCCCAGCCTGTTGGATTAGGTGGCACTTTCGATGTAGGAAGAGTAGACACCTCTGGAGCAAGTGCTTGATTTATGGCTCCACTGTGAAAATTGTCATGGTGGGTAAAATGATATAGTCCTTGTTCTCATTAGACTTCACTGAAGATACAGGTAACTTTTCAGGTTTCAGGTATTTTTTGTTTTCGCCTTCATTAACACAGCATAATTTCCCATTTACACATCCTGTTTCAAATATTTCCCCCATTTGGCATTTCTTCCGGCAGTAGCCTGTTATATTACTAAAGCATTTTCTAGGTCTGGCCGTATCTGTGCACAGGAAACAACATTGGACCCAGATTAGTTCCCGAGGCAGAGCGTAAGAGGTGTGTGGTTCCCTACAAGCTATGGTCTCTAGTGGTCCAAAGTAAACCTTACGCTGATAAGAGAAAACTCAGAGATTCCTCCTTGAAAGTCATCCCAAATTAAAGACATCCAAAACCCCAGCCTCCAAGCCAATATCCAATTGGCTCTGAGAACATTATAAATTTTATGACAAAAAAGAAGAGAGAGCTCAATTCATGATTATTGACTGGAGCTATGCCCCGCCCCTAGGACGCTGGCAAAGCTGACTCTGTCTTCCATGTGCCAAAGTCAGCACTCCCTCGGCCCTACTCCAGTCCAGCGTCCCCAGAGAGTACCAACCTGTCATCATGGCATAATTCAGGGCCAAATTAACTTTTAAAAGAGCATCACAGACAGGACTTTTTAAGTTAACAGTGTAACTGGGTTTCACACTCACTGACTGGGCAGCAGGAATCTCCCTTCGCCAAGACCTCATAGGTCTCAGCAATAAATGCTGCTGAGAACGCCTTCTCTTATTTCAGCCCCTACGACTTCTCCGTAACCTGGCTCTCCTCTCTCTGTCTCTCTCTCTCTCCCTCTTTCCATCCTCCTTTTGATCTCAGATAAATGCATTGCCCAGGGATCAAACTCAGTTCCAGGTAGTCTCCCTCGAGGTCCAAATTGTCACCTATTTGGAGTATTGCACTGAGGTCTGAGATCTCCTGTTTCCAATTCTTTATTTGCCCCGTATACACATTTGGACAACCTCATGGAATAAAGATGGAGAACAAAGATAAGATTCTTCCTATCCTAAATCCCAGAACCAGGGAGCATCTCTGAAGGTTAGAAAGGTATTTTCAGGGCCACAAAAAGACAATGTATCTTGCTACAGCTGCAAAAGAGAAGGGAATTCTCACTGACAGGGTTCCTACCATGAATTTGGTGCTTCACATTTATAAGTTCATGTAATCCTCCCATGAAATACCATCATTATGAAATTGAGTCAGGATACTCACTTGACAGACGAGAAAACTTAGATTCGAAGGGAATAATTAGCTCAATTCATACAACTAGTCAATGATGAAGACATACTTTTAACCTCACATCTACATGACTCCAAAACTTGTGCTGTTCTCATTACTGTTGTAGGATAGGCTGGAAATGAATTTGAAAGGAAAAAGAGATGACCAGGTTCCTGGGCAAAAACTATGTTCGACATTAGCAAGATAATTCTAGATGATGGATTCACTCCTACCTTTGAGGAGGACTTCTGAGAGTACAGCCTGATCTTGTCTTACCTCCCTGAATGCTCTATTCTAAGACACAGACTCAAGGCAGGCACCCAGGAGAGTGGGTACTTTTGATGATATTGGCAAGATATCAACAATCTTGAAGGCCCTGACCGCACGTCTATGGACAGTAATATCTCCTAGGACTTCATGGTACATTTGGGCAAGTTACCTTTGGGTACCTCAAACAGCAGAATAGTGAGAACCAGAAACAGCTTCATATTTACAGACTCCCCAAGAGAAATGGGCAGCAAGATTTCTTTGTCCAGTGGTCTGTGTCACAGAGAGTCTTTCAAGATGAGACAGAGTTCTGGATGCTCTCAATATTCTGAGCTCTCATTTTAATCCACATGCACGAGAAGGAAATCCAAGGCCACTCCCACCTTCATTCCCACATATGGAGTTCACGGTCACAGAATGTTCCATCACATCACACCTACTCTTCCTTCCTCAGAATGTGAGCTCCCAGAGAGTAGGAACAATGACTTCTCCACCTGGTCCATCAGCCCATTTTGGTCAAGGTTGATCGATCATATGTCCTGTTTTGCGTGGGATGGTCCTAGTTTATTCCCATTTTTCCAATGTCCCATCCAGCTAGTGCCACCTTTCATTCACAAAAGTAATCTGTTTGGAAAAGTAATTAAATCATTAACTAATCAAGGTAGACACATGACAATATCTAGTATTAATCGTTTTTTTTTTAAGATTTTTTTTTTCTTTTTGTCTCCCAAAGCCCCCCGGGACATAGTTGTGTATTTTTTAGTTGTGGGTCCTTCCAGTTGTGGCATGTGGGACGCCACCTCTGCATGGCTTGATGAGCGGTGCCATGTCCGCGCCCAGGATTCGAACTGGCGGAACCTTGGGCCACCAAAGCAGAGCACGAAGACTTAACCACTCTGCTACGGGGCCCACCCCACCACTATTAATCTTTTTAATGTATGAAACTTTCAGAAAAACATCTAGGAGTAAGATTGCTCTTAGGTTTGGCTAGATAAACTGATATTATTTCAGAGTTTCCCATTAAGTCTTACTCATCCAGTACTGCTCAGTTCTATAACCGAAGTCCTTCAAAAGATCAAATTTCTTTAGCACAGTGTTCAATTCATTACGAACTGGTCCCTGCTTACCTCTCCCAGGGCATTTTATGGAATCACTATGTTCCTGACAAGTTAGTGTAGGTGCCTCTACCCAACTTGTTACCTTCATAACCTATATCTTTGCACGTATAAATCCCTCTTCACGAATTATATTACACTCCACCATCCCATCCACCTAACTGGTCCTCTATTGAGCTCCTAATTTTTCTTCAAAATCAAGTTCAGTCGTCTCCACATCTCTGAAAGTTTTCGTGACCCTTCTTTGTGCCACCTCTGCACCTTGTACATATTTTTGTTGGTGGTCACACCATGTCATGTTCCAATTATTTGTTTGTCTGCAATAATCTATGAGCCCCTCAAGGGGGCCTTGTTCAATCTGGAGTTCTCAATGCACAGCACAAAACGCATGCCATGTCCTTGGTATACAATTATGGAATGAATGATTGCAAATTACTAAACAATTGTTGCTAAATAAAATACCCCAAGACAGTAATAAAGTTAATCAAGACATCTCCTAAAGAGTGCTGTTTACCTCATTTTACAGTTTCTGGACACAAGAACCTTGAATTTATAGTAATTAAGGCCCATCCAAAACTCTTTCAGTGACAATACCTGGAAGAATTTTGGAATTTGTGAAGGCCATATAAATATTTGTTGATGATGATTAAACTAGTATCACAACATAGGGTTAGGGTTAAAGTTAGGGTTAAGAATGAGTATTATGTGTGGTTTTTTTGTGTTGCTTTTTTTTTGAAGATTTTATTTTTTTCCTTTTTCTCCCCAAAGCCCCCCAGTACATAGTTGTATATTCTTCGTTGTGGGTCCTTCTAGTTGTGGCATGTGGGACGCTGCCTCAGCGTGGTTTGACAAGCAGTGCCATGTCCGCGCCCAAGATTTGAACCAACGAAACACTGGGCCACCTGCAGCAGAGCGCGCGAACTTAACCACTCGGCCACGGGGCCAGCCCCCTTGTGTGTGTTTTTTTGTTGTTGAGTTGTATGAGCTCTTTATATACTTTAGAGATCAACCCCTTGTCTGATAAATGATTTACAAATATTTTCTCCCAGTTGGTGAGTTGTCTTTCCGTTTTGTTCACGGTTTCCTTTGCTTTGCAGAAGATTTTTAGTCTGATGTAGCCCCATTTGTTAATGCTTTCTTTGTTTCCCTTACCCGATTAGATATGGTATTTGGAAAGATGTGGCTAAGACCAGTGTCAAGGAGTGTACTGCCTAGATTTTCTCCCAGGGGTTTTATGGTTTCAGGTCTTGCATTCAAATCTTTAATCCATTTAGAGTTAATTTTTGTGTATGGCACCATAAAAAAAGACAAAACCATACTGTTTGCAAGAACATGGACAGACCTCGAGGGTATGATATTAAGCGAAATAAGCCAGACAGAGAAAGACAAATGCTGCATGATTTCACTCATACGTAGAAGATAACAATTACATAAATAAAGAGGACAGATTAGTGGCTATTTGGGGGAGTGGGCGAAAGGGATAAAGGGGCACATATATATGATGATGGATGAAAATTGGACTACTAGGGGTGAGCACAATGAAGTATACTCAGGAATTGATAAACAATAATGTACACCCAAAATTACACAATGTCATAAACCATTGTAATCCCAATAAAATTACTTGGAAAAAAAAAGAATGAGTATTGTGTATAGCTTATTATGTTTACCAGTAACCGGAGTGAACTAAGTTTGTCGAGAAGAAGGGAGTGTCAAGTGCTGCTGACATATCAAGATGAGGAATATGAACTAACCGGTGGCCCCACCAGACTGACACTAGTCCATCCAGCGTCCCACTTGGTCTCAGCTCATTTCTCCGCTCCAGTACCTCTTAATGTGTGCCTACCATATGAAAAACGCATTTCATATTCATTACTTCATTTAATCTTTACAAGAACACTGTAAAGAAGAAATTAATACCTCTGTTTTTCAAATTGGAAAATCGCAATTTAGGGAATTGGTAATGTGCCTATTGTCACATGACTAGTAAGGAATGAACTAGCATCAACACAGGTCTGCGTGAGCCTTAAAGTAAAGGCCTTCACCCTTATGCAAACTGCCTCTCCGGCTGCCTCTTTTGCGTCAATTTTTGGGAGATTGAAAACAAAACATTCAAATATGCAACGCTGCTTTGTTCACAAAATGTATTGGTCACACACTTGGCAGAACATCCTCCCCGCCACCCACCTTCTTATATCCTCCTCACCACTCAGGAAGCAGCCCATATTGAAAGAGCAGCCTGGATTGAGAGAATTCATATTTCTGACTTTTACAGATAACATTATTACATCCTGGAAGTAATATCGCCTGCCTCCTTCAATAGGTTCTTAAGTCTATTTGTTTTTCTGTTCATTTGTGTCAACTCTTTCCTGTCAGATAGCCTTTGTGCAATCTTGGCTGGGCACAGGAAGCACATAATCTTCTCATTTTCAAAGCCCTCTGTGACCGTGCAAAAGTTTTCCCTTTGAGTAGGCTAGGATGGGTAATGAAATGTTGTTTTTCAGTTGTGGTCAGTTGAAAAAAAATCACCCATCAACATTTGTTACTGCACCTCCCACTGTGATCCACAGTAGTACAAATTGCTTTTAATATCTTATAAATGATCTTTAAATGGCTTTCATTTCTTAGAAATATTCTCTGAAATCTACTTAAAAGGTTATCTTTCCAAACTTTTAGACAGGCCAAATCCAGGCAAGAAATAGGATTACTAATTCCCTCTTATAAAGACTGAGGGAGTCAAGGCAAGATTCTTTTGCTGATCTTTGTTTAGGAGAAGGAAGCCAAATTAACATTTCATGCTAGAAAAATCAGACACACAGATAAACAATAAGAAGGAAAAAAAACCGCCTTTCTCTGTTAACATTGTGGTGTTTAGCCTTCAAAATATTCTGCTCCAAAAGTAATTTATTTTAACAATTGGGTAAGAGATAAGAAGATGTAAAATGAGCTTGCTTGCTTTTCATCCACTCAGTGTCAAATAAAGTCTGCTAGTCGACACTCTCTGAGCACACACACACTCATACACACACGAAGTCTACATTGATCCCTCCAATTCAAGAAAAAAGCCTGTTGGCAAAACAGACATACACTGATGCAGAGGAATCCCGTATTAGCTGCCTTTACTAAGCTACCTTTACGCCTAAATATATATCACCAGATAGTTTCAGGAAAATAAACAATTTCAAAGAGGAGAACTTAAATGAGCAATAAGAATAAATGACCTCAAAAGAAATAAAGCTAATACTGAGGAGAGAAAAGAATTGCTAAAAATGATGAGTGACAGATTTGACTATATAAAATGCATAACATCTTCATAACAAAATGCGTGCAGGAGAAGGTGCAAGCCAGTGTAAGATTAAAAGACAATTAGAGGGGCCGGCCCAGTGGTGTAGCGGTTAACTTAGAGTGCTCTGCTTTGGCGGTCCACTGGTTTCGCTGGTTCGGATCACGGATATGTACCTACGTACTGCTTACCAAGCCATGCTGTGGCAGGCATCCCACATATAAAATAGAGGAAGATGGGCACAGATGTTAGCTCAGGGCCAATCTTCCTCAGCAAAAAGAGGAGGGTTGGCAGCAGATGTTAGCTCAGGGCTAATCTTCCTCAAAAACAACAAAAAAAGAGAGAATTAGGAGCCAGCCTGGTGGTGTAGTGGTTAAGTTCACGCACTCCGCTTCAATGGCCTGGGGTTCATGGGTTCGGATCTCGGGTGCAGACCTACACACTGCTCATCAAGTCATGCTTGGCAGCGTCCGACATACAAAGTAGAAGAAAACTGGCACAGATGTTAGCTCAGTGACAAGCTTCCTCAAGCAAAAATAGGAAGATTTGTCAACAGATGTTAACTCAGGGCCAATCTTCCTCACCCTGCCAAAAAAAAAGATAATCAAAGTAGAGTAAAATTTGTAAATGCATTATATACCTTAAAAGGAGTAATATCCATAACATATAAAGAATGTTTGCAAATCAATAAGAAAATGATAAATGACCTTGAAGAAAATAGGCGAACAAGACAGTAACAAAACATGTAAATATCTCTTTCAGAAGGTTGATATAAATTCAGAAATATAATATTCCTTTTAAGAGAATCTGCTTTTAATCCATA